CAGCAGAGCATCTGGTGGATTTGAACCGCGCACCTCTGGGATTGCAGTGCAGTTTCCTACCACTAGGCCACCAGAGCTCGCCTGTTATTATTATTATTTTTAACCAGGGCAATGCTAGAAGCCATTTCCTCATACAAGTATTGTGTCTTTGCTGGGGTTTACGCTAGGTCATGTGAGAAAGTGTCAGTTAAGGCTCCTTTGCTTTCTCAGGGGAGCAGGTCTATTTCACAGGTGAGTCTCGGTGTCTATTCGCTGGACAGAATTTTGGTTTATGATTGCTGACTTGGCAAAATTACCAGCACCCCCTTTCCCTCTCCAACGTGTCCTAGTTTGAACAATAAGATGCAGATAATCCATATTTTCTGAGCACAGTTTTTGCTGAGCAAATGACTTCCATTCTCCTCACCCCTATATATGGCCTGGTGGTTTTCACAACTTAACTGTTTTCCACTAGGGCTTCCTCTAGGCTTTTATAACAACATGTTTGAAAAATTGAAAAAGCAAGAAACCTACCGGGCCTTCAAAAATTTCCTTCTCATTAAATACGTAGTTGACTTTGGCATTGCCCGACAGCTTCTCAGCTTGCATCCAAAAGCGGACCTCCCCCTTCTCCAATATTTCAACTGCCAGTTCCGATTTAACCGGGACAGCTATGAAAAAGAAAAACAGGGGTGGGGGGTGGTTAGAGAAAATAGTGCAACAATGAATGAATGGAAATCCAAAATCTCTGTAAATGTTCATTAAAATTAATAAAATAAAATTTAAAAAAAGAAAAAGAAAAAGAGTGATTATACTGGTAACAAATTGCATTGATACAGTTTTTTTCAGACAAGTGAAAAATAATCCATGAGAATGAAGATGTATGTAGTATTTTGCTTCTCCCATAAACCGGAGGCTGGGTGAGCCTCAGACCCTGAGAGAGGAGACTTGGGTTCTAATTCTGAGACTCACTCTGGGAAAGTCTCTCACCTTCTCTTGAGATGCATCAACCAAAGAAATAAGAAAGATGAACTTAACCTCTTGAAGCCCTTCTAACATCTGTGACTGTCTACTGTGATCCTTGATTAGTTTTATTCTGGGGGGAGGGAGTTCTGGTGGCACTTGGAGAATTGCACTGCTAACTAAAAGGCAGTGACTTTCTGACAATTTGAACCCACCAGTGGCTCCTTCCTGTGGGAGAAACGTGGGCAATCTTCTCCCTGTGATTTCCAGCCTCAGCAACCCGCTGGAGGGTCAGCTGTGAGTCAGTTCCTATTTGATGCCAATGAGGAAGTGACGATGAGGCTTCTGGACTGACTTCAGAAGAAGTAAAGACGAGTCCAAGTTTTGCCAGTAGCAAACTACGTAATATTAGTTGGGTCACTTCTTTTCTATTAATTAGCCAACATATTGCCCTGTCCCAACATTCTATGATTTACTAACTTACTTAAAAATATTTGTCAAGGAATGGACTTTTACTTCTTCAACAATTTAACTCAGTTTGGCGATACTTTTCAGTGTTTTAAAATGAATTTTTAAAAGAATTAATTTTGTCTACAGATAGAAAATCAAGTAATTTAAAAGTCTCTCAATCCCAAAGCACATCAACTCATTTTGTGTCTTAAAGAACAAACAAACAAAACCACACCCAAACCCAAAACTTACACCAGTTCTTTTTACTTCTAAGACTAAGAGAACAAGTTTAGATGTCAGTAAGTGAGTCACTGTCAAAACAGATATTAAGACACAGCATGGCTTGCTGCACACGGAGGGTGAGGAACCATTTGGCATCTCATTTGCAACTACGTCATTTGAATCTGACTTGAATTCAGTGAGTTGGCTGAAGTCTTTCAAAGCCAGTTTTAAAAATCTCTTGTAAATGGAAAATGTTCTCTGCGATGGTTTCTCCAACTAAAAGTGACTCCAGGGCACACTTCACAGAAAAACATGATTGTTTCTCAAAGGTTAGTTCCCCCTGGCTTCCTTTGAGGGAATCATCACTCTTTACTCTCTCTAAACTGTTCATAAATATCTCCTAAAATTTTAGCATGTGGTAGGTACATTTTAAATGACAAGTCCCCCAAATTTGTACCACATATAAATGAATGTTTCTTTGTATTTTTCCTGAAAGGACCTACCATTTTTCAAGCTTCAAAAGGATGCCTATGATTAGCATTACTTTATCTTCACTATAAAATTCAATTATAGATTTGCCCTTTTCAGAACTGAAAGAAGAGGAAGCTCTGGTGGCCTAGTGGCAAGAAGTTGAGCTGCAATCCTGAAGGTGCGGGTTTCAAATCCACCAGATGCTCCACTGGGGACAGAGGGGCAATCTCCTTCTGTGATACTCAGATCCGATTCGACGGTACACAACAAGGAAAAAAAAAATAAAAGAACTGAAAGGAGGAGGCTGAAGTGTCATCTAAATGAGGTAGAGGAAGGCTTTGGAGTCACATTAGTGGCTTGAACAACTACTCTTTTCCTCAAATCTTGTCTTTCTCACCCAAATTAAGTGGATATTTTCAAAGCTCTTAAGAATAAAGATAGTTTTGTTGTTGTTATGTACCGTCAGTTCAGGACCCACCCACAGTTCACCCTCTGGCATGTTTTCAGAGGCAGTTAATCGCAAGGGAAGAGACTGGCCATCCTTCTCCCGTGGAGCAGCTAGTGGATTATAACCACGTGCCTTCAAGATTGCAGTGCAGCTACTTGCGTATTGTAATAGAATACATTAGTTCGCTTCCTGTGCCAATGTCACCGACGAGAACACTGAGACCCCCGAAGGGTTAGTGGTGGAGGTGAGAAGGGAACTACATCTCCTCTGAGGGGCCTGTGGTGGTTATTTCCTTCTGTGCTCCTCCTGGTCCTGGGCTGTCCACTCTGAGGAACACTGGTGGCTTTCCAGTGTGAGCATAATTGCTGAGGGACATGAATGATGGACAGAACATGGTGTAAGAACAGAGGCTGGGCTTTATCCCTGAAGGATGCTCATGCTTGCTGCAAATGCAAAGCAGAGTCTCTTCTAGGAAAATCCAAGATCCCATTCTGGTGAATCTCCTACATGTGTGATATGATAACTTTGTGGGACATGAGGGCCATGGCTCTGGAAAAGAGGTTCAGAGAGTTGATGAGTGAGGAAGGGAATGGTTTCTTGACGCCTCTGCCTCTTTTATTTTTCCACTATCTTCTCTGAGTTTCAAGAACATTGTCTGGGAAATACTGACCCCTAAGGAGTCACTACAAATGGCACAGTAGCCAATATGTTAAGTATAAACACAGAGACAGTCCCTCTTGTTTAGAAGAACAGATTACAGGGTTAAGCCATCTGAGTTCACTTCACATTCCAGCTGTGTGAGGCTGGCCTAGCTACTTAACCTCTCTGGGTCTCAATATCTTCATCTCTAGAATTAAATTACTGTAATGCCTCCTTTGAAGGCATACAAAGAAGAATCTTTCATTTCATCAAAGAAGATCCAATGCCTTTGAGTTGTGGTACTGGAGAAAAGTATTGAACCATGAGAACAAATGAGTCTGTCTTGGAGAAAGTGAAACAAATTTTCTCCTTGGAAGCTAGGATTTTGAAGCTCTGTCTCACATACTTTGGGCATGTGGCCAGGAGAGAGCAATCCTTGGAGAAGGACATAATGCTTGGAAGGGTGGAGGGACAGTGCAAGAGTGGAAGACCCCCGGATGAGATGGATTGACAGAGTAACTGGGGTCATGGGGGCAGGTGTGTTAGAGTCAGTGAGAATGGCTCAGAATAGAGTGGGATTCAGAGGTACTGTGCATAGGGTCTCTATGAGTTGTAGTCAACTCAACGCCACATAAAAACAACAACAATGCCTCCTTAGAAGGCATTGTGGAACCTGGCATTTAAGTGCTATGAACATGGCCCTTTGCGCCATCCCCTTTTCCTTATGAATCAG